TTAAATCCTTACAATCATCTGCTCATAAAATACAGAAAGAGAAAATTAATAAACTGAACACGCATTTTTTAAAAATTAGAGAATCACAAATAAACAAACTTAAAATAAGAACAAAAGAGGAGATATTTAAAATTAGAAGATGAATAGAAAAACATAAAAATGATAAGTAAAACTAGAAGCTGGCTTTTTCAGAAAGACTAATGATAAACCCTCAGCTAATCTGATTAAAAACAGAGTAGAAAAATCAGATTAATAAAACAGCAAAGAGGAAAGGCAAAACTATAGAAAACGAAAAGAAATAAAAATAATTAGAAGATACTATGCACAATTATATTCTAACAAAACTGAGAACACAAAACAAATGGAGGAATATCATCAAAAATATAAAATACTCAAACAATCAGACGGACAGATAAAGACCTTAAATAACCCTACAACAGAAAAGGAAATAGATCAAGCTGTAAAGGAACTAATGGGGGGGAGGGGACAGAGAACAGGAGAGGGGCATGGAAGAAACACCATGGACCTGATGGATTTACAGGCAAATTCTATCAAACCTTTAAAGAACAATTAGTAGCGAGACTTCAGAAATTATTCTCAAAAATTGAGAAAAAAAAAGAACCCTACCAAAATCTTTTTATTAGACAAAAATAGTCCTACTAGCTAAATCAAGGAAAGAAAATTACAGACCAAGATCATTGATGAATATTGACTCAAAAATTTAAAACAAAATCCTATCAAACAGACTGCAGGAATTTATCCAAGAAATCATTCATTATAATCATGTAGCATTTATACCAGGGATGCAAGGATGATTCAACATTAGGAAAACAATCAATATAATTAATCATATTAAAACCCAAAACATCCAAGATACATGATCATCTCAACAGATGTAGCAAAAGTCTCTGACAAAGTGCATCACTCTTTTATGCTAAAACCCTACAAAGCATAGGTATAGATGGACCTTTTTTAAAGTATCATAAAAAAAAACCTATCTAAAACCAAAAGCAAACATTAATGGGGATATACTAGAATCTTTCTTTTTTTTTTTTTAGTATTTTATCTTTCCCCAGTTACATGTAAAAATAATTTTTAACATTTGTTTTTAAAACTTTGAGTTCCAAATTCTCTCCCTTCTTTCCTCTCCACCCCCTCTCATTGAGAAGGCAAGCAATATGTTATACATGTGTAGTCATGCAAAACACTTCCATAATAGTCATGTTGTGACTATTCCCCCCATCCTATCCTGCGCCATTTATTCTATTCTCTCTCTCCTTTCACCCTGTCCCTCCTCAAAAGTATTTTGCTTCTAACTACTCCCTCCCCCAATCTTCGCTCCTTTCTATCACCACCACCCCCCCATTCTCTTATCTCCTTCCTCTCCTACTTTCCTGTTGAGTAAGACAAATTTCTATACCTAATTGAAAGTGTATGTTATTCCCTCTTTGAGCCAATTTTCTTGCCTCTATTATGGGAGATAATTTACTCCATTTTAACTCTCCCTTTCTTGTTCTCCCAGTACATTCCACTCTCTCACCCCTTAATTTTATTTTTTAGATATCATCTCTTTATATTCAACTCACACCTGTGCCCTCTGTATATATACTACTTAACCTTCTTAAGCCCCATATGATTTCTCTTTCCTGTTTACCTTTTCATGCTTCTCTTGAGTCTTATATTTGAAAGTCAAATTTTCTACTCAGCTCTGGTCTTTTCACATGGAATGCTTGAAATTCCTCTATCTCATTGAATAGCCATTTTCCCCCCTCATGGATTATACTCAGTTTTGCTGGGTAGGTGACTCTAGATTATAATCCTAGTTCCTTTGCCCTGAGGAATATCATATTCCAAGTCCTCCAATCCTTTAATGCAGAAGCTGCTAAATCTTGTGGTATCCTGATTGTGGCTCCACAATACCTGAATTGTTTCTTTCAAGCTGCTTGCAATATCCTCTCCTTGACCTGGGAACTCTGGAATTTGGTTATAATATTCCTGGCCGTTTTCATTTAGGGATCTCTTTCAGAAGGTGATCGGTGGTTCTTTCACTTTCTATTTTACCCTCTGGTTCTAGAATATCAGGGCAGTTTTCCTTGATAATTTCTTGTAAGATGGTGTCTAGGCTCTTTTTTTGATCATGGCTGTCAGGTAGTCCAATCATTTTAAAATTATCTCTCTTGGATCTCTTTTCTAGGTCAGTTGTTTTTCCAATAAGATATTTCACATTGTCTTCTTTTTTTTTTTTATTCTTTTGGTTAGAATCTTCTTCAGTAAATACAGGAATGTAGCAAGGATGCCCACTATTATTTGATACAGTACTAGAAATATTAGCAATGACAGTAAAATATGAGAAAGGAATTAAAAGAATAAAGATAGACAAAGAGGAGATAAATTATTGCTGTTTGCTTATAATGTGATGGCTTACTTGGAAAACCCCAGAAAATCAGCAAAGATACTGAGACAATTAATAGCTTCAGCAAAGTTATCAGCTACAAAAATAAATTCTTAAAAAACAACAGCATTTCTATATGACAATTTAAAAAAGCAAGAAGCAAGAAGAGAAAGGGAAATGCCTTTCCAAATACCTACTAAATGCTTAAACACCTGGGGATCAGCCTCTCAAAGGACATAAAAGACTTATACAGATTCAATTACAAAGCAGTTGTAGAAAAACCACCAAAATAGCTGGAGGAATATTCAGTGCTCATGGATAAACCATGCCGACATAACAAAAATGACAATACTACCAACATTAATTCACACTCGTAATGCTATGCTAATCAAATTACCAAGAGGACAATTTAGAGAGTTTAACAAAATTCATTTGGAAAAACAGGTCTAGAATATCAAAGGAAATGATGAAAAGAAGTAAAGACTAATAGATCTCAAACTATATTATAAAGCAGCAGTCATCAAAACCATCTAGTACTGGATAAAGAACAGAAAGATAGATCAATGGAACAGAATAAACAAGGAAAATACGGAAACAATATAACTCAATAACCCAGTGTTTGACAAAGTGGAAGTTACCAGGGACAAAGTCTCAATTTGATTAAAAAAAAAAAACTGCTGGGAAAACTGGAAAGCAATCTTGCAGAAATGAGGCTTAGACTCCCACCTTATACCACTCTCCACAATATATTCTAAAGGAATACGTGACCTTAATATTAAAGATCACACTATAAAAAATGAGAAGTGAAATAGTTCACACACCTCTAGCAGCTAAGGGTGAGAGACAAGTGATGGAGGCCACTACAAAAGATGAAACAGATAACTCCGATTACTTGAAAAAGAAAAGCTTCTGTATAAGCATTATTAATGCATCTTTAAGAGGCCATTCTTTGCTTCATTTCTTATTAAGCCTTAATCACTGAATAAGTGTTGCTCCAGTAAAAAACTGAGACCTGTTAAGGACCTTAGCTTGAAAAAGCCAAAGTTCCCGCTGCATCTGGACCATCTCCAGTTGTCATGATCCATGTCTGGCCACTGGACCCAGATGGCTCCGGAGAAGAAAGTAAGGCTGGGTGACTTTGCACAGCCCTCCCTCACTTAAATCCAATGCACTTGCATGTCATGGTCCTCTTTTAGAACAAAGGACAAAAAACAGTAATTAATGCATCTAGGATAAGAAGGGAAGTGGTCAAATGGGGAAAAAAAAAATCTTTCTATCAAATTTCTCTGATACGGGTTTGTTATCCAAGACAAACAATTAATAAATATATATAAGACTAACAGTTACTCCCCAGTAGATAAATGGTCAAAGGATACAAACAAATAATTCTCAAAAGAAGAACTGCAAATATTTACAACCACATGGAAAAAATGCTCCAAATCACTAATAGAGAAATGCAAATCAAAACAACTCTGAGGTTTCATCTCATACCCTGCAAACTGGCAAAAATGACAGAAAATGCCAAAAGTCAACATTGGAGGGCTTGTGGGAAGACAGGCACACTAACACATTGTTGGTAGAACTGTGAAGAACAACCATTTTGGAAAGTAATTTGGAATTATGCAAATAAAGTGACTAAAATGTCTAGACCCTGTGAACCAGAGACTCCTTTACTGGGTTTACACCCCAAAAAAGCCATCAATAAGAAAAAATTTCTCACATAATGCAGAGAAGCCAGGAAAGATCTCTATGAACTGATGTAGTGTGAATGAAACAGAACTGAGAAAACAATAGACAATATAACTACAACAATGTAATTGGAAAGAACAATGCACACACCAAAAAACCCAAAGTCAATGAAGCAAAATTATAAAAAGATCAAGTGGGGTTCAAATGAAGAATTATGAGAACACACCTCCAACCTACCACTTGTTGAAGGAAGGAGGTCCCCAGGAGTTACATATGGCACATGTTTGTGAACTTTCTCAAATGTATAAATTAATTATTTTTTTTCCTTTCTTAAAAAAAAAATCATTTGTCATATGGGATCTCAGGGAGAGATACATGGGAAACTATGGGGATGTAAGAAAGAGAAATCATAAATTAAAAATTATTTTTCAAAAATGCCTTCTTTTCTGACAGCTAGGTGGCACAGTGAATAGCACCAGCCCTAGAGGCAGGGGAGCCTGAGTTCAAATCCAGCCTCAAACACTTACTAGCTACCAAATGACTCAAAAACAAAAAACCCCCCCCCAAAACATCTTTTCAAGATGAATTGACATGAGGAGGTGGCATAAGAGAATGTGAATACCAACATCAACCGTCATAGACCAAACACAACAGTCATGAGTAACTAATAGAATGAAAGACTATTTCAAAATGAGTGACATTTTGGAACAATTAGGAGCTAAATTAGTTTCTTTGAACATGAAAGATATGATATTCTCATGAAGTTTCAGCAAAAATCTGAAAAGGGCAGTTCCTAGGCTCTGATACCCAAATTTACTACTCCTTCTCTATCAGCTCTGGTGAATATATGAAAGAAGCAATGTTAGTGCGACAGTAATAAAGCACGGAAGAAAGATGAACATGCATTAAAACACTCTACCTTGATTGGTGAAATATGAGAGTGGGCAACAAATCCGTGCACATTTTCTATCTCTGAAAGATTTTTCTCTGAGACATGAACCAGTTCCGGACCTGTCACCTCACTGGTGATGTTTGGAGAACTGTGTTCTTGTGGAGGAGTATCTCCATCTTGATATCTATATTTCTGCAAAGTGAAAAAAGAGAAAGAAACCTTTGAAACATTGACAACTGGGGTGGGGGGGAGTCACTTAATTCAAATGCTGTTTTGAAATACCATTCAGAATGAACCGATGTGGACCTAAAAAGTCCTCTATGGAGTCCCAATGAAGTCAATAAGGAACAATGACTGCCCAGGTGTGGGGCAGCTGAGGTGCGTGCACCTGAATTCAGGCCTTCTGCGTCCACTGCACACACTCAATGCAAAGCACATTCCTTATGTCAGACAGCTACCCCACAGACAGACTTAACCTAGAGGTGTATCACCCACATGATCACAATGTCTATTCTAAGGAAGTGTTCTAATATTTTGAGATTTGGAGTAGGTATTGACTCAGTCTCCTATGAGCACGTCTTCCTGTTTTACATTTTCATCCATATAATAACAGGAGTCAGATAAAGTGGTCTCTAGTGCTGTACCCATAAAGGGATCTTACTATATTTTGGCACATGCAGTGGAGACACCCTGCTGAAAGAGGGCCTCTAGGCAATGTTTTTGCTTAACCAAACCAAGTGTGAACTTTATACTCAACAAATCAGAAGCAGCACGGCAGAGCATTCTATGTCCTACACACTTCAATCATCTGTGTATCTGCAAAGAGGCAGTGGTCTGATTTTCCATTTAATTCCACCAGCACTTAACTGTGTGCCTACTTACCGTGCCTTGTTTGGGGAACAAGACAAAAAGGTGACAGCCCCTGCCTCTAGGAAATTACAGTCTACCAGGCATATACATGAATCCATACAAGAGAAAACAAAATATATGCAAAATAATTTCAAAGGATTTAACAGCAACAACAGAATAACTGGGTTATGTTAATATTTATGAAACTGGCAATATATTAAGCTAATATCAATATGTTTAGACAGGAAAAAGTATGAGTCGTTTAGGTCAATAAGATAAATCTATTCCTGAAAAGTCTAAGGATTAATGAAGATGATGATAGGACGGGGCAGAGGTGAGCTGCCTGCATAAGAAGGGTATCTTTTCACCTTCCCCAAAGACCCAAATACCCACTCTCCTATCTCTGTCTTTCAAGAATGCCCTTGGTCCATTCAGGTGTCCTCCTTCCAGCTTTATCCAAAAATGACCTCAGGATAATAAGCTCCATTGGCTTTTATACAAAGCATTCTGTAAATGCTCTTGTATTTCTTCCCCACACTACTTCTGTCTTTTAGGAAACGTTATCATGGCAGCTAGGTAGCACAGTGGATAGAGCACCGGCCCTATAGTCAGGAGGACCTGAGTTCAAATGCAGCCTCAGACCAAACACTTGACACTTAGTAGCTGTGTGACCCTGGGCAAGTCACTTGACCCCAACTGCCTTAATAAAAAAAAAAAAGAGGAAGGGTTATCATTCTTGACAATGACTCCACTTTTTTCCATGCTTCAGGGAAAATAGCTTGTCTATCTTCTCAATTTGCTTCTTTCTTATTTAGTTTTGACCATGAGCTTTGCTTTAACACAGTGATGGGCCGACTACTTCTAAGACAGCTGCCAGGGAAGAACTCCAATGAAAGCAACCAGTTACCTCCTATGAGTGAAAATAGAATCAATTCCCTTTTTTTTTTTTAAATGTTGACATCATTTCCAGGATACCATTTTGCCAGAAATCCCTTCCTGGAGAAAATATTCTTGGTATCTAGGCACGAAGGCTTATTTCATTCATTCATGAAGAATTCTGAATTCACCTACTATATGCCAGTCAGACACAAAATCGCCCCTGCTTTCAAGATGATATTCTACTGGAGTGATGCAACATACATGAAGGTCATGAAAGAACCAATTGGATGATCATAGATCTAGGACTGGAAGCAACCTCAGGGCCCATCTAGTCTAAACCACTCATTTTACATATGAAGAAACTGAGGCCCACGGAAGTCAAAGTGGTGTGTATAATAAGCATCAGAGGTGGAATTAGAACTCAGGCCTTCTGACCCCAAAGTCAACGCTCTAACACTTCATCATCCTGCCTCCGTATCAATCAGCAAGTATTTAAATCTACTCTGTGCCAAGCACTACATGTTGGGCAATGGAATATGAAGACAAAAACCACAGACTGTTAAGTAGTCTCCATTCTATCAGGGAGAACAACATGTATACATGGAAGAGGAACAAATGAAGTATATACAAGTAAGTTAAAGGTCCATCAAACAGGTGGAACCAAGATGGTGAAGACCAGAAAGAAGTGCAGCAAAGGACCTAGAAAATGCACCAGAACGAATCCTAATAAAGAAATACAAGAAAAAAATCACAGTGAGTCATTTTTCCAGCCTAGAGTGGCATAAGGAAATAGACAGAGAGGGATTACCACTTGCAGAGAACTCTAGCAGAAAGAGGGGCTCTGCCCCAGGGCCGAGAACCCCACAGGACATGCCTAGGCTGGGGAACAATGAGAGCAGCACGTGCTAAGTGGCAGCTTTGTCACCTGCTACCCAGTTCTGGGTCACAGACACAGGCATAAAGAGGGCAGCAGCATCAAGGGTGGTCATTCTGGGTAGGGAGCCTACGTATTGAGAAGCAAGCAGTAGTAAGATGGCTCAGAACCTAGGAGCAGACTGGAGGAGCAGTCCCAGGTTCTCGCACAGTCTGAAGCCTTCAGAGGAACAGTCAAGGCAGGAATCCCAGACCCTCTGAACCAGCAGAGCTCCCCACAGGCTGAGAGTGGCTGATCGAGCAACAGGTTCTGCCCAGACCACAGTTTAAGAAGCGCGACTGGAGACTCAAAAGCCTGAGCTGTGCCTGAGATCCTGGAACAGCACAGCACTTAACACCCCAAGAAAGCAGAAGCAGGATGAAACTAGACCTCCCCTGTCCAGCCTTAATGTCAAGTCTCAAGTCGGGAAAAGGCTGGAAGAATAAGCAACCCTTTAAAAGGGGAAGCCCGCCATCAAAAGACATTAGGGTAACAGGGATGGCCAAGACAAATACAGAAGAGAATGACCTCAAAATATCTACAAGCAAAGTCTCAAAGGAAAAAACAGCTTTGAATCCTGGAAAAAATGAAACAAGAGTCTCTAAAAAAATTTTAATGTTTTTTTTTTCATAAATGAAATGAAGAATGCTTGAAAAAATGGAAGAAGAAATGTGAGCTACAGAAAAAAGAAGTGGAAAACAAATTAACATGTTGGCATGAGAGGTGCGAAACCTGGCCCAAGGAACTCCCTGCAAATTAGAATGGACCAAGCAGAAGTCAGTGAGTTCATGAGGAGTCATTATTAACAAGAAATATTAAGACAACGTCAAAAGGTTGAAAAATAAGTAGAAGACAATGTAAGATACCTCACAGCAAAAAGAACTGACATGAAAACAGATGGAGGAGAAAACAATGTATAAGAAACTAGACATCATATTTCAAAACATCTTAAAAGAAAACTTCCCAGATCTCTTAGTGGGCAAAGTGGAAACAGAAAGAATCTCCCAGTCATCTCAAACAAATCCCAAAATGAAAACTCCTAGGATCAACACAGCCAAAATCCAGAGTTTCCAGGTTAAAGAAAAAATACTACAAGCAGCAAGAAAGAAAGAATTTAAGTACCCACCATGAGTATTACAGATAATCTAGCAGCCAACACTATGAAGTAACAGAGAGCTTGGAATATGATATTTCAGAAGGCAAAAGGACATAGGCTTAAAGCCAAGAACAAGGTACCCGGAAAAATTGAGTATTATGCTACTGGGGGTGGAGAAAGGAGAGGAATGGACCTTTAATGACAGGAAGACTTCCAAGCATTCTGGATGAAAAGACCAGTGCTGTGGAGAAACTGTGAAATACAAAAACAAGAGTGAAGAGGACCATTAAAAGGTCAACATGAATAAATAATGATACAGGACCAACAAAGACAAACTGCTTACATTCCAATATGGGGAGATAAGACGTCTCCTCTGATCCCCATCATCATCAGGCTTCAGAGAGGGAGTCTAATTAGGCCTGAGAGGTTTGGTTGTGTCTTGATGAACTTAAGAAAAGAATGTAAAGAGAGGAGGAGAACAACACCAGGAAGCGCAGGAGGCGTTGGCAATGGTTATGGGGAAATGATCTCACATAACTGGGATGCAAAAGTAGACATCCATACAAACGAGGAGCATGGGGTAGGGGGAGAAGCTGGCATTTGAACCTCACTCCCATCTGAATAAGCCAAAGATTTAAGAATACATACATACACACATACTTACATGCATGCATGCATACACACACACACACACACACACACGTCCAGAAATACATTTCACTCAACAGGAAAGAGGAGGAGAGGGAAGGGGGAATTAGAGAGAGGGTAGATTAAAGAACGGATTGGTCCTAATCAAAACAAATTCTAAGGACGTACAGAAATATTTATAGCTCTTCTGGAGGTGGCAAAGAAACGGAATCTGAAGGAGTACCCATAAACTAGGGAATGGATGAACAAGTGATGGTAGATAAATGGGATGCCATACTTACTGTGCTGATCTCTTTTCAGCATAATGACCAACCAGGATCCCAGGACTAATGAGGAAAGCTATTCTCCAACTCCTGATAGAAGGTGAAAGATGCAGATCACAGAGAGACAGATATTGTTTGAGTACAGAGGCAATGTGAAAATGTGTTGACTAAATGTGTTGTATTTCTTGTATTCTCAAAGGAGTGGTTGGGGTAGGAGGGAGAAAACATGGATTTTTGCTGATTTAAAAATAATAAAAGTTTTTAAAATACACCAAATGAATACAAAGTGATATGACGATAAGAGAGAACTTGAAAACCATTTTTCCAATATTTTTCACCAATTCTAGTCACCCTTGCTCACCACTTTTGCACTGATGTCACCAAGTCTTAAAGTAAATCAGGATTTGATTTTAAAGATTTTCTTGAGTTCTTCAGAGATATTTCTCTGCCCCCTTAACTTTGGGAATAGCTATTGGCCCAGAAACTACAATGATTTTCATCCTGGTCTTCCTGAAAACGCTTCCCATGAGCATTCTGAAGCAAA